AAAAACAGTATACTTCCATTTCCCCTCTCCGGCATGTTATTGTCATGAGTTTTACTTCCACATGTTATAAACCTACAATAAACCAAACCAAATCTATTGCTGTCAGGTAGATTCCTGCTCATAGTAACACCATGTGTTAATAGAATAGATCTGTTCCATAGGGTTTTCTTGGCTGTAATCTTTATGGAAGCAGATTGCCAGGTCTTTCTTTTGAGGCACTGCTGGGTGGGTTTGAACCACCAACTTTTAGGTTAGTAGTTGAGTGCAAAACATCTGCACTACTCAGAGATGTTGGGCTACTAACCATCTTTTCTTGCTTGGGGTTTGTTTTGATTCTTCGATTTACGAGTTTATAATTTTAATCAGATTGGGAAAATTTTTTGGCCATTATTTCTTCAAATTTTTTTTTGTCTTTCTCCCTCCTGGGGAACTCAATTACATGTATATTGGGCTGCTATCTTCCACATCTCTACTTAACATGCTCAGTCTTCCCTTTACTTTCTTGAACATACTGTTTTAATCTCCTTATCTACTAATTCTTGTATCTCTGCCATTTCTGAGTCTGTTTCTGTTTATTGATTTTTCTCATTTTGGGTCATATTTTCCTGCCTCTTTGCATGTGAATGCTAGTCGTAAATTTTATCTTGTTGAGTGTCGGGTACTTTTGCATTCATATAAATATTCTTGAGCTTTATTTTAGGATGCAGTTATCTTGGAAACCATTTGATCCTTCTGAGCCTTTTTAAAAGCTTTGTTAGGCGGGTCCACAACATTAGGGCTAATTTTGCACCACAACTGAACAACACTGACCTTAGTACTCTAGCCAGAGCCTCATCTGTTATGAGGATTACCACTCTGGCTGGTGGAAACAAACTATTCCTGTTCTGTGTGAGCTTTGGGAATTGTTCCATCTGTTCCTTTTAGATAGTTCTTTTTCCATCCCCACGTAGTTCTCTCACACGTGTGTGTTAATCATTGCTCAGCTGAAGATTTGAGGAGAGGCCCTCTGCAGATCTCTGTATAGCTCTTCCCTTTCTGAGACTCTGCGCTGTGATCTTTACCTGTTTTCACCTCTCCAAACTCCCATTTCTTTTCTGCAAGCCAAGGAAACTGCCAGGCTCCACCTACATTTCTCTTCTTTGCTCTGTGGTCTGGAAACTCTCTTTAGTTTGTAAGTAGGGGCAGTCGTGGGGCTTACCTTATTTGTTTCCCTTTCCTGAGTAATCACAGTCCTGCACTGCCCAGTGTCCAATGTCTAAAAACCCTTGTTTCATATATTTTGTCCAATGTGTTGGTGAGTTTAGGCAGGAAGGTAAATTCGGTCACCGTTACTCCAACTCGGCTAGAACAGCATATTTCTTTTTAGATTCATCTATGTTGCTATATGTCAGTAGTTCATTCCTTTCTATTCCTAAGTAGTATTCCATTATTTGGAAATATCATTATTTATCTGTATACCTGTTGATGGACATTTGGGTTATTACCAGGTTGGGATTGACATTTCTCAAGCTTTTGTTTAGATACAATATTTGTTTTAGCAAATACTATGCCTTTATATGGATTTTGGCTTGCAGACTAACTTAAAACCCATTGCTTTTGAGTCAATTCTGACCTTGTAGGGTCTTATAGGACAGGATAGGGTTTCCAAGGAGTGGCTGGTGGATTCGAACTGCCAACATTTTGGTTAGCAGCTGAGCTCTAGTTAGCAGTACACAAATAGGCATCTTTTAAGGAATATACCAGTTACTCACAGTGAGGGACTTTTAATGCCTTTCTCTATTTGGAATGATGAGGGACAATCTTGATAATTAGATAAATTTCACTATAATGGGTAAAAGGTAGTTTTTCATATCTGAGGGAGAGGAGAAGTGTAATTATGGGTGGGATGGTGACTGCCTTGCAGAGACACAGGAAATCCTAAATTTTAAGCGTCTTTTTTTTTCCAAAGAGCACACGTGTTCTGACAACTCTGTATGTGAGCTCTTCTGAAAATGGAAAGTTTTTCCTCAGTAAAACAGACTTGAACTGATTGAGGTATAGCTATTCTTAGGTAAAGTTTATTTACTTCACTTAGTGTAAATTTTTTATGTCTTAATGCAGAAATATTAATGTGTGTGATTATGGGATATTGCCACAGGTCCTGCTAGGGATATTATATAATATACAATATATGCAGGTATTACCGTTTCAAAATCTGGCCAGTTGTGAATTCTGAAACACATCTGATGCCAAGAATTTTGAATATAAGGGATCATGAAACTGTGCTTCGTAGTTTTTGTGGAATTCCGCAGCCCTTCAAGACCTCAGAGGTTCTAGGTTGGGGCCCAAAATCTGTTGTCCTAACCAGTACTGTAGGTAATTTTTAGTATGGAAAGTTTGGGAGATAGAACCCTAGCTGGATTCCTGACTGCTTATATTCTGGTTGACCATGATTGCTTCTTAGAAGCTAGCTTTCCTCCTACTTCTAGCCTCTCTCACTCTACTTTCCCATTTCAGTCTTCTGTATAAAGACCATTTTTGTCTAAAAAAACCATCATCTTGAAGAGCTGGAATTTAGGAGACCTGAGTTCTAGTAGTTGCTAGTAGTTGCTGCTAGTTCTAGTAATAGCTGTGGAGCTTTGATTACATCATTTAGTGTCGCTCTGCCTCACTTTCTTCATCTGCAAATGGAAGTGTCACACTAGGTTTCAGATTATACCTTTATACTCTTATTACTCCATAACTTAAGTATAGCAAATATTTCCAGATTTCTTTTAGGATATGCCCGTTCCTTTGTGGATGACATTAATTAACACATTGATGGGGTACTTCATACTTAATTGGAATGCTAGAAAAATAATGTTCTGGCCATTAGTGATGACTTAAGAAAATAAACAATGTACTTTTGAGTAGCTGATACTTTAACATAGTAAAAACTTAAAAAACAGAAGTTTTACATTGGAAAGTATTTTCTTTCCACCCTGATTGCTAGTTCTTCTCAGAGGCAGCCACTGTTACCAGTTTCTTGTGTATCCTTCCAGAGATTACATATGCACTTGTAAGAATATGAAACTTCAAACTTTTTAAAACGTTTGCAGGAAAAATAAGTTAATTATATGAAAAAAATAGGAAATAATAAATAGTTAATAGATAATGTTCAAAATTTATGAAGCAAGAGAAATAAATAGTTTGTAGAAACATAGGAGTAAGTACCAAAAGAAATAGCTAAAAGAGGTGAAAATGGTTGGAGGGCGTAGCTTACCATGGCCAGGACTTTGCTGTTTTCTTGTTATGTATCTTTTGGTACTATGTGTATGTCATATTTTGATTGAGATAAAAATTGACCACAGATTTAATATATTTATTTTCTTCCAGTTTTTCTCTGTACATACTTTAAATTGTTTTAAGAAAAATTGAGACTAATACAGTGAACATCTGTAAATTACCACCTGGATTCAACAACTGTTAACATTTTGCCATGTTTGCTGTATGGTATTTATGTGTGCATGCATGTGTTTAATTTTTTTTTTACTGAATCATTCGAAACTTAGTTGTTCACCCCTACCTACTTTAGCTTGCATCTCCTGCAAATAAGGACAATGTCATACATAAACTCAATACCATGATCACACCTAAGAAACCTGACACTAACTCTCTAATAGCATTTAATATGCCAGAGTTTCCCCAACTGACCCCAAAATGTCTTTTATAGTTGTGGATTTTGTTGTTGTTGTTTGTATGCTTTTTGTTTTTTGAACCAGGATCCAAGCAAGGTTCATGGTTACGTTTGATTGTTCTCTTTAGTCCTTTTTAATCTAGAACAGTCTCCCACCTTTTTTTCCATGACACTGAATTTTTGAAGAGACTAGGATAGTTGTCTTGTAGAATATCTGTATATATATTATTTTAAATAACAAAAATGAGTTTATACATATTTTTGAAACCTTTTTTTCCCTTTAAAATTTATTATGAATGTCCTTTAGCATCCATATTTTCAGTCTTACAGTTCAGATCCTCTATAACCTAACCCTAATATGCTTTTTCAGATTTTTCCCAGTGTTCTTTTCACTCCTTGAGGTATTTGCCTTGGTTTCCAGTCATCCTGTCTACTTTTACCCATTATCCAGCCTTAGCCCAAGACAATTGCTTCACACTGTTTCCCTCACTTGGCTGGTATTGTGTCCGCCCCCCCCACCCCCTGCCCCACTTTCTGGTATTGTATCCCCCTAAAAAAACCTGTTGGCCGTTGAGTTGATTCTGACCCATAGCGGCCCTTTAGGACAGAGTAGAACTGCCCCCATGGCGTTTCCAAGGCTGTAAATCTTTATGGAAGCAGACTATCTCATCTTTTCCCTGAGGAGCAGTGGGTGAGTTCTAACCATCAACCTTTTGGTTAGCAGCCAAGCGCTTAACCACTGCGCCACCAGGGCTCCTAGTATTATATCAGCTTTTTCAAACCATAGAAGTTTAGAATTTGTGGAGTAGTGGAAATTTAATAAGAAAGAAGGCTGGCTGACCTTTATGTCCTGACTATAACTGACAAACAACCTATTTGACTTTGGCAAAGTCACTTCCCTTCTCTTAGATGAAGTTTCCTCAACTGTAAAGTGAGGGAGTGCGGTTAAAAGTCCTTGAATATTCTATGATTATCAAGGGCTAGATAAATATTGTAGAAAATTAAGTACTAGAGGAGTTCAGAAGCTGGTATGTAGTATGGATGAGATTGAATTAGCCTGATGGTTCTGAGACCCACATGAAATAACTTGTGTGAAAGGTTCTGAAAATTACAAATGATTATATAAATGTGTAACCGGTATTTTAGCAAACAAAGTGCAGCAGGATACAATAGAGGGCTGTTCTAGGATGCTGATGGTGCAGTTATTACAGTATTTTAGAGAATGTCTCAGAACTGCAGCTGACCTAATAGCAGTAATTGAAACTTTTAAATTGCTACTACTCTCATTTGCTTTCCTGAATGGGGATAATTGTGGGTCTGATCTCTTCTTTTTTTGTTCTTACAGCTTTATTATCAAGTCCTAAATTTTGGAATGATTGTCTCCTCAGCACTAATGATCTGGAAGGGGTTAATGGTAATAACTGGAAGTGAAAGTCCAATTGTAGTGGTGCTCAGGTAACAATTTTTCTTTTCAAGGTGTGAAATTGCATAGCATTAAGAATCTTACTTGGGAGAAAAATTCAGCTATTGAAATATTCTCAGGGACTGGAACATCAGTCCCTTAGAAACTGCTCTTTCCCAGAAGAGGGCCTAGAAGAAAATTAGTTACTACTACTGAATTTGATAAATTTTCACCTTGTTAGGCACTTCCCATTCAGAACTCCATAGGGCTCATGACCTTTCTATACAGAGGTTATATGTGAGCTTTATTTTTGGCACATGCTGTATTTGAATACCTTAAGAAAGTGTTTTATTGTACTTTATTTTCCTGAAATTTTTCTGTCTGCCTAGACTCTCCACTTTGATCCATCAGACCTGATATTTATTGGTTAGTTCACTAGATTTTATAGTATCTCCACGAATTAAGAGTTTTTCTGCAGCATGTTCCCAGTGTCAGTATAGAAGCATCACTAATTATTTCTGTGTTTCATGCTGACCTTTAAATATCACTTCTAAACTAGACAGGAATTTTGAAGATATTAATGCTGTCTCTTAACGTGACAAATATTATTGATTTTTTTTTTCCTCTACCCTGCTTTCTTCCCTATCCTTGCACTCAGACTCTTAGTGACTTAAAAACTTAATTTAGTAACTCGTTTGGAAAATTACCGCTTGGTTATTTGAGTCATTATAGTTCTGTTTTATTTTAGGCTTAATTTTGTAAGCCATCTGAAACCCTTTCTGGAAATAATAGAGTATAAACATAAAATAAAACTGAATCATTAACATTATCTAGAGTCCAGACAGAAGCTCTGGTAGTGCAGTGGTTAAAGCACTTGGCTGCTAATTCGAATCCACCAGCTGCCCCGCAGGAGAAAGATGTGGCATTCTGCTTCCCTAAAGAGTCTAGACAATAATACATTTCTTTTGAAAAGATAAACTTAACTCCTTCATTATTATATTATGTACTTCCAGCTCCAACAAGTGGTTGGAGGCACTGGATCTCCAGTAGACTCCTGTTTTCTTTCTTGTATCTTGGCTCCATCTTTTATGAATACATGATCAAACACAACTATATTTTTAGAGAGCCAAAAAATGTATGGATTTTATTAGGTGGGACAGCGTTTAATATACTACTCTGGAAGTATGGAGGCTTGGTTCTCTAGCTCTTTTTCATTGTCTGACTACAACCTTGGGTAAGTCACTTACTCACTGAACCATAGTTTCTTCATCTGTAAAATGAGACTAGACCTAGATAATGTCAGAGGACCTTTCAAGTTCAAATAGTTACGTGGCCCTAAATTCCCAGACCGTCTTGAATTCAGTGGAGAGCGTCAATTTGTCAGGTGTCCAAACACTAATGAAAGGAGAAGCTACGCTAATCAGCACTCTAGGGAAAAGACCACTCTAGGGAAAAGGTGTAGAAAGACGGCCCAGGTAGGCTTCTTTTGGAGATTCTTCCAGGATTGTGTCCAGTTTAGTTCCCTTCAGTGAAAGTGTTTAAGAACAAGCTGATGACCTCTTAACTGGGGATCTTGGAGTGAACAGGGGATTAGACTAGAGGACCTGCTCAAAACACTGCTGGTCCTGTAAGTAGTTCACTTCTGCTGCAGTTGGAAAAATTATAATACCAGTTGGAACTTAGAGACGGTGTTTGTACTAAGTTATTTCATAGCTAGGTTATTTATATACTAAGCTTTTCTGATTGCTGATATGGAATAAAGAAAAGAAATGAAGAGAAACCAGATCATGTTAGAGAAGGAGCCGATTAAGACTAGAAGAAGTCACTCAAAAAGGTTATTTATGTGATTGGATGTTTTCATGTAACTTCAAAGAATATAATTTTAACCTGGAACCAAATATACCTCAAAGGTGTCAGGCCAACTGCAAAGCCACTTTTAGACCTTGGATCTACTTTTAGACCTGGAAGCCTTTGTGGGTAAAGATAAACACCTTCATGTTATTTATTTTATTATCTGAAATTTCAGGCAATGTTCACAACTGATTTTTTTTTCCTTTATAAAGCTGAAGTCAGTTAAAAAATATTAAAATGTTTTATATATAACTGCTTATAAGATTTATCATTATTGATATATTAAAAGTAAATTTAAAAGTAGAGTTTAATCAGATAATAGAAGTTTACTTAATGTTTTAAAAGTTTTCCCCAGTTTATTTCTTGAATGGCCCTCTCATGACTTTTATATAATCTTATCCACCACTCTGCTTTTAATTGCTGTCTATTTCTGAATTCCTAAATCTTTATCTCTCACCCAACTCTCTTTCCTGAAGTCTAGACTTACTTTTACTCTACATTGGACATCTACATCTGGATGTTTAACAGGCACTTGAAACTCCATGTAACAGAAATCTTTTCCCACAAACCTATTCTTCCTGTTTCTGTTGGGGTCACTGCCATCTGCTCAGTTGCCAGTATTACAAACCTAGGAGTCACCCTTCATTTCTCCTTCTGTCATGTTCAGTTGGCCACTAAAGTTGTTATTTCACCCCTCTATTCAACCCTTTTATAGTTGTCCTCCCTGCTGTTGTTCAATTTCAAACCCTCATTTCCTGTCTGGGCTGTTGTTGTGACCTTTTAAAAAATGCTTTTATAATCAGAAAAAGTTAATATAGTTTCATTATAGGAAATGTTGAAAACACAAAAAAGTCTAGATGAAAGTCACCCATAGTTGAGATACCATCATTAGTAACTTTTAGTCTCTTTTTTCATGTATTTTTTTTATGTAATTGTGATAATTCTGCATATATATCCTTTTCTCTATTTTTCCCCTTATTCTCCTATATGCATGTTTACAGTGAGTTTTTAATTTTAATAGTTGCCAGGTATTCAATTACAAATAATAGCCTGAGTAATTCATCTCCCAGTCTACCATCTCATCTTTTTCCAATTTACTCATTAATTCAACAAATATTTGAGTGTCTTCTATATACTCTATAACTTCTGAAGTGATCTTTCTTAAATGCAAATATGATGTGGTACTACTCCCTGCTTAAAGTTCTAGAGTGGCTCAGAGACAGTTTAACGCAGAGTGGATTCTGTTGGACTCCCTTGGTTCAAATCTCACCTTTATCATTTTATAGATGTATAACTTTAGGCCTCTCTAAGCTTCAGTCTCCTAGCCTATAAAGTTGGAATAATAATAGTATGTACTTTATAGAGTTGTTCTGAAGATCACTTAAAAAATATTTCAAATAGCACTTTGCATGCACTAAGTGCACAATAAAGATGAGCCATTATTCAACCAGAGCAACTCAGTTTTTATCTGTTTTATTTGTATACTTTTAAAGCAGAGTTTTATTTGAACAAAGGGTATCACTGATTTTTAAAAAATCAAAGTAAAAACTTGAAAACTATGTGTCTAGAATACCTTCTACAATAATCTCACCAAACAGATGTCCCATCTTCTGTCTGAACACTTTCTGAAAAAAGAAACTTCCACGTGAGAAACCTTGACAAAAGTTTTAAAAACAAACATGTAGCCGGGGTCAAAAACCTAAGTCCTCAGAGGTGAAAGTCCATATTCCTAGTGGTTTCCAGATTTTTCTACACATTGGAACCACATAGGATCTTTACAAAATACTGATGCCTGCCTCCCACCCCCAGACATTCTGATGTTTAAACGGGTTGGGATATGACCAGGACATAGAGATTTTTAAAAAGTTCTCTAGATGATTCCCATGTGCAGCAAAGCTTGGGAACCACTGCCATATTCTCTTACATAGTACGACCACAGCCTTCAAACTGAAGTGTTCAAAACATCCTCATTATTCCGGTATTGAATTTTATTCCCTGCCTGTCCATTTTCTCCTTACTAAATTCGTTGTTACTGAAAACTGGAGCTTAAATTCTGAAAATAATATGGATGGTCTACTTCTTCATAGAAAGAAAGGGTTCATTAATTAGTACAAATATCTTAGGACATTTTTAGAACTTGGTGTAGGATAGAACAGGTGAGAGGTAAGAAGACATTCTATAGAAGTCTCCCATCATTAATTTTCCATGGAATTGAACCTTTTCCTGGTTTCTGAAATTATTAGGCAAAAATCTCTGCTCTAGTCCTTGGTTTTCTTTCTTGTTTCTCTTTAAAATAAAACAAAACAAAAATAAGTTGATAACACAAGTGTTATTATCTCTGTAGCTGACTGTTCTTTGACTTGTTGAGCTGTTTTTCCTCCTTAATGGACTGAACCCATAAGGTCATCTTGGTCTGTATCTTTATAAATGGCAGAAGAAGATGATATAGTTCTCATTTGAATATTTGAGTATGTTTATAGCGTTTTTAGATGAAGTGAGAATAAGGGCAGCATTTTTAAAGTTCATTCTTTTGTATTCTGTTTGTCATTTGAAATTTTAAAAGGTTAAGGAATTAGTAACATTGCCCTTTTTAAGATTCAAGCTCCTTTGAATATTAATGATTGAAATGGAACTAGTTAGTGAAGGCTAATAATTAAAAAAATTTTTCATAGAACTCATTAGTCTGGGGAAACCATATTTTGAGAATAATGCAAATTTATATTGATATAGTTAAGATATTGAGTATATTCCAGAAATGATACTTTTAATTGTTATATTGAATGTCTAATTTTGAAAGTCAGTTTAATCTCAGACTTTTTTTTTCTAATTCTTTTCTTTCCAGTGGCAGCATGGAACCTGCATTTCATAGAGGAGATCTTCTCTTTCTAACCAATCGAGTTGAAGATCCCATAAGAGTAGGAGAAATTGTTGTTTTTAGGATAGAGGGAAGAGAGATTCCTATAGTTCACCGCGTCTTGAAAATTCATGAAAAGTATGTGCAAAATATATCCCTCCATTTTAAAATATTTTGTTTTACTGTTTTCAGTATTTAATTTTGATAGCCTAAAGATTGAGAAGGGTGGGGAACCCCTAGAGCCTTCTTATAATTCATTTTTATGAATGTCTAAAGGTTTGTGAGCATTTGGAAAAATGTAAGTATTTATTGCCTCTTTTTTTCCCTGAATGTTTTTCCAGAGGTTTTTCTTAGTTCCTTTCTAGTTCCCATCCAGATCACTGACCCTGTATATAATCCCTAAAAACTGTGATGTAAAAGTTGATTTCAAATAATATCTTCCAATATAGTGGAATGAAGTGATTCTTGTCTTTAAAAAAAAAAAATTCTAAGGCAATCTAACAGACATTCCAAGTGAGAATAAATTGGTTAACTTCCTGATATCTAAGTTATTCCTTTATATATAATGGACTCTTACATTTTTAGAATAGGAAAGGACATATGTAAAACCTTTAGAATCACCTGGAGGGTGGTGGAGGGACATAACAATGAGCAAATAATTTCACCTTTCTGGGACTTAGTTTCTTTTTTTTTTTTTTTTAATTTTTAATTTTTTTTAATTGTACTTCAGGTGAAGGTTTACAGAACAAATAGTTTCTCATTAAACAGTAGTACACATATTGTTTATGACATTGGTTAACAACCCCAC